CCAGCGGTCCAAAAATTAAAGAGACTCCTATATGTTTACCTGCACAGGTCTTTACTTCTTTTATATATTTTCATTTTGTTGTTATTGTCGTTTTTACGTTTCATATACACTCACCGGCCACTTTATTAGGTACCCCATGCTAGTAACGGGTTGGACCCCCTTTTGCCTTCAGAACTGCCTCAATTCTTCGTGGCATAGATTCAACAAGGTGCTGGAAGCATTCCTCAGGGCGTTTGGTCCATATTGACATGATGGCATCACACAGTTGCCGCAGATTTGTCGGCTGCACATCCATGATGCGAATCTCCCGTTCCACCACATCCCAAAGATGCTCTATTGGATTGAGATCTGGTGACTGTGGAGGCCATTTGAGTACAGTGAACTCATTGTCATGTTCAAGAAACCAGTCTGAGATGATTCCAGCTTTATGACATGGCGCATTATCCTGCTGAAAGTAGCCATCAGAAGTTGGGTACAATGTGGTCATAAAGGGATGGACATGGTCAGCAACAATACTCAGGTAGGCTGTGGCGTTGCAACGATGCTCAATTGGTACCAAGGGGCCCAAAGAGTGCCAAGAAAATATTCCCCACACCATGACACCACCACCACCAGCCTGAACTGTTGATACAAGGCAGGATGGATCCATGCTTTCATGTTGTAGACGCCAAATTCTGACCCTACCATCCGAATGTCGCAGCAGAAATCGATACTCATCAGACCAGGCAACGTTTTTCCAATCTTCTATTGTCCAATTTCGATGAGCTTGTGCAAATTGTAGCCTCAGTTTCCTGTTCTTAGCTGAAAGGAGTGGCACCCGGTGTGGTCTTCTGCTGCTGTAGCCCATCTGCCTCAAAGTTCGACGTACTGTGCGTTCAGAGATGCTCTTCTGCCCACCTTGGTTGTAACGGGTGGTTATTTGAGTCACTGTTGCCCTTCTATCAGCTCGAACCAGTCTGGCCATTCTTCTCTGACTTCTGGCATCAACAAGGCATTTCCGCCCACAGAACTGCCGCTCACTGGATGTTTTTTCTTTTTCGGACCATTCTCTGTAAACCCTAGAGATGGTTGTGCGTGAAAATCCCAGTAGATCAGCAGTTTCTGAAATACTCAGACCAGCCCTTCTGGCACCAACAATCATGCCACGTTCAAAGTCACTCAAATCACCTTTCTTCCCCATACTGATGCTCGGTTTGAACTGCAGGAGATTGTCTTGACCATGTCTACATGCCTAAATGCACTGAGTTGCCGCCATGTGATTGGCTGGTTAGAAATTAAGTGTTAACGAGCAGTTGGACAGGTGTACCTAATAAAGTGGCCGGTGAGTGTATGTGTCAGTTGTTTTGGCTTGGAAAATCCATCTCCAGTGTCTTCTATATGTTGAATGTTAAGATTTAAAGAAAACGTTTAGCTTCTGTTCAGTCGATCTTATTTCACGGTCTCCTCAGACATTGTTGCATCACCCTCAACATAAAACTGCTGATGTTGCAGAATAGATCTAAGGATCGATTTAGCAAAGTGAAATAAGCCTGAAACAATTTATGATATATATATAACGACCGAGAGGCCCCATTTTGCTGCACCTTCTCAACCCATTTAGTTTATTTCAAATCAATTGAACCAGAGTCCCAGAGGTGTCCATTTCCAGCGATCAATGGATCACTTTAGACAGATCACGCACCTCATAACAGAGAAACACTATTATGCATAAACTTACTGACACCTGAAGGCATTAAGACAAACCCAGGAAGTTGTTGTTGCAAAATGCTTCTGCTAACAGCAAAGCTACAGTGCAGCTCCACAACATACAGTAGATACACTTCAGCCTATGACTCCAATGTGTTCAGGGTTGGGAACGGTACTTAAAAAAAGTAATGTTATGATCTTATGTTCTGGACCTTTTGTTTCTGTTTAAGTTTATTTTTTTGGGGGGGAGTAACTCTTTTCTGGATAATTGGTATTGATTGTTTCCTGGTCTAGTTTCAGTTAGTTATTAATCCTTAAGCCCCTGTCAAACCGTGACGATTTAGCCAGTGTATGCCTGATAAACAAAAATCTGGCAAAAACTCTGCCATATGTTTGATATGCGTACATTTGTATAAGTTATGAGAACGCTAAATATGCTGAAACATGCTGGCATACATCGACATACAAGCATGTCAAGAAATTTTGAGTGTGCTCAACATATGCCATACGTGGGGTGTAAGTTACAGGTAACTCTTTTGATCGTTGTCATACATTAAGTGTAAGTTACTCATACAGTAGGTCATGGTGTCTAGTTTATCCAAAACCTATAAGTAACTTGTGCATAACTTATCAAGAACTTATCTCCAGCGCATATCAACGTATTTTACGTATTCCAGGCAACCGCTGAACGTGTTTTAACGTACAACTACTGTATGATGGAGTATTTGCAGCGTTTTGGGCACAAAAATTGCCCATACTGGGACAAATAAAAGCTACTGAACTGAACTGAACTGGTGGTTCACAGGGGGAACCGTCATTTCTCCTCCAGACTTCATCCCCATCATAGGATGAGTGAGATGGTATGAGTGATAGATCCTCCCTGCGTTCAGGCGCACGACCAACAAACTTCCTAGCAGACATGATGCTGAATCTACTGTGACTGCAAACCTTCTTTCTTTCTTTTTCTTCTTATTTATTTATTTTCACCATGCGTTTTAGGTTTTTTTTCATTGATGAAATGATAGAAACACAATAAAGAAATCTTTCTATGGTGGACATGTTTCTGTTGGGAGGAGCTGATTGAGTCATGAGGAACCAAGCAGGAACTGACATCCATCAGAGCAGAGCTCTCTAACCACGAAATCCCACATCCTCCGTCACCAGGGTTCCTTGGTCTTTTTTATTTTGAGGATTTGTGGGGGGAATGGAAGAGAGTTCATATAACCTGCATCAGAGAGCTACCTCTTTGATCTGCGGATGGTTTTCCATGTTTGAAACAGAAATAGCAGCAGTAGTGGAGATGCAATTCAGTTCTTAAATCTATCTTTGCGCTCCTCTAATTTATCCAGAAGTTCTGCAATCACACTTTTTCTCACGCTCCCAACTTTGTGATCGGCTGCATATTTAGCCTTCCCTGGAAATGCCATTCCAAATTACTATTTTTATTCTCTCATTACATGAAAAAATGTAGGCAATCCTTCCGCATTGATAATGAAAGCAAATGATTCGCTCCATTCTTCTTTGAATCATCTGTTCTCATCAGTTATCTTCCTTTTTCTCCCTTTGGGACCCATGGTCAGAGACACACTCACCGCTTTGTTTGCCCGGCACCGCACCGCCCAGAAACATGTTTTGCAGGCTATGACCACTAATCTCTATGGTTATGGCGCAAATTTTCGTTGAAAGAATTATTATTTTTTTTTTTTATTTATTATACAGATGTTTACAGCTTTGGAAAACATAATGAACGTTTGTTTGAACTCCTGCACACCATAAACAAACAAACAAAAAAAAACTATTTCATAAATTTTTGAAAAAGCTCCAGGGCAAGGGGGCGCTAAAGAGCAGCACATGGCTTGCCGACCCCTGTTCTAGTTACTTCTGTCTACACCTGCTCCATATCAGCTAATTAGTCTTCCCAATGTTCTGTCTCCCATATATACACCTCGTATTCAGTTACTTATCCTTCTCTGAATACTGCAATATAAAGAGATTTAATAATTCTTAGACCCCAACACTATAAACACAAGAATCATATAAAAAAAAGCTACATTCTGGTCCTTAATCCACATCATACATGAACATCCAATATTAGCCACACGTAAATCCAGCATACATGTAAACCACCAAACAGTGTTCACTCATACAGACATTAAAAAGCTACTTATTGCTGGCAGGTTTGTTGATTTGGAAGCCGTTGTTTAAGCCCAGGGATCTGAACCCTTTACACTCCATTGATTCAGCCCTGAGTCTAGCTAAATACAAGTCACTTAGAGCTGCAAATGTTACGTCACTTTTTATCAAAGCACAACTTATTTTCTTAAATATCCTCCATAAGATGCTGTTACAGTTTTAAACAGCCAAACGGTTATTTTTATTTTTAGCTTTTAAAATGATTGAAAAATATGGAAGAGGGTTAGGGCCACTAATGAGAACAATTATAAAGTTAATTTAATTGTTTTAATTTCATTTTAGTATGATGTCAGGGGGAAAAAAAGTCAGAATACTGACTTTTTACTTTTCTGATATTAATTTCAGAATTCTGCATTTGAGTAAAAAGTCAGAATTCTGACTTTCTCTGCAGAAGAGGATTGGGGCCAGTGGAAAAAATAGGAGAAAAAAGTTAACTGATATATTATATCATTTGAGGTTAATATGGGAAAAAAAATCAGAATTCTGAAAAAAAAAGTCAGAATTCTGACTTTTTCCCATATTAACCTAAAATAAAAAATTTTGTTTTCAGTGGCCCTAATCCTCTTCCGTAGAAAACATAAAAGTGCTTAATAATAAAGAGAAAACTTTTTCTTCTAGAGGAAATAATTGGATGTAAAAACACATCATTTCTAAGCTAATAAGAAAAAAAGACTTGTTAGTTTCAATGTCATTCTGTTGTGAAATTCATTCAGTTAGACAATTCTTTAAAAACCTGCAAAGCTTCTAAGACCGGTGTTTGTTATTATTATACTATTCTCACATCTATTAGTTGGTTCTTTATCCTTTCAGCCACAATTAGGAGTCATGGTAGAGGGACAATAGAACAACTAACGGCTCTGGAGCCGCAGGTTGCAGACCCCTGATTTGGCACATTGGTGCAGGTTTGGAGCTCAACATGGAGCAGATTCCAATATTTCTGCTGCAGCGAAAGACAGAGCAGACTGTCCCATCAAAGAGCGTCTGAGAGGAATGGTCTAATCTGAATTAGATTGAGACGAGGTGGAGCAGCATTATGTACATTTCTAAAAGGCAGAGACAGTTGAGAGATTACAGAATAATCTTAGTTCTGGACTTCCACTGGAGTCGCAGTAAAGTCTCACCTGTGCTTGATTTGATGGTTTCCTGTCCAACAGTTTGACCAAGCAGGTCGTACTGGTTCAGGCGGGAACTCTCCTCCTCCACCACCACCGAGTCCGAAGCGTTCCGAGTCCAAGCGTAAGTCACCTCTGAGATTGTGTAGGCGTCTAAAAAGAAAAGGGAAACGGATAAAGCCAAAGGTGATGGCGTCTATCAATGATTCTTTCTTCAGTCACCCAAATTAAGTGTCCCTACGATGTTTGACGTTATTTTGAATCAAAACCGTGCAACTTTTCCTGCTCTGTTTGAATGCATTTAACTAAGAACTAGACTTTTACTTCTAACAGGATATCATGAATGCACTGAATGCTTATCAGGCATTTCATTTATTCAAGATGTCCAGGCATTTCAGACATGACCTGCTAAGCTCTGATGTCTGAAAATAGCCAAATATCAATCTGTTGTCCTGAAAAAAAAAATGCAAAAAACAAAACAAAACAAAAATTGTCATCCAAATGTAAAGAAGCCATAACAATAAAACCTGGCAAAAGATCTCAACTCTCCAAACAGAAAATATTTGGATGACTTTAGAATAAGAATTGCAATTCAGCAGTTTCTCTGTAGATGTTATGTGTCTGTTTAAACGCTGGCGTTTCTTTGTTAGTTTTTGTAGCGTCGCTGCCAGCTGAGCCATGCATTTCAGCTTCACTCAGTACTGCTCATGTGCCAAAGGACTAGAGGAGCAAACAAAGGACTGCATCTTAGTTTAAGTTGCCTCAGGCTCTATCATCATTAGAGTTACTCACAGCTGCCAAATTTTAGTGGACAGGAATGAAAGTCCATGGGGAAATCCTCCAGATGCATTGGGCACTCGGCATGCACTGTTAACCTGCATCCAATTCACAGAACATTAACCAGAATTTGCAAATGCATGAAAGTAAACAGCACAGGTTATAAACAAACAAATAAAAAAAGTAAATAAAGAGCTTCATGCACCATTCAAGACGTTAAACATCTGCAATGCCTTGAAATGGAAAAAAAAAGGTTTCTGTATTTTAACCGGCAACACAAACTAAACAGGAGGAAAAAGCTCTCTGGTGTTTGTCAGCAGAAACACTTTAACTTATAGAAGTTTAATACAATAATTCACAGAGGGTACATCTTCAAACGTGGTAATAAACAGTTAAAACCAGTTTACATTCACAGAAACATTTTTACTATGCATGTTATTTGTTTAATGCAAAAAAAAAAGCAGTTTGGTCCTAATTCTTGAATTGTTCTTCTTTTCCATCCATTTTTTTCCGCTTTATCTGGGGCGGGTCGCAAACGCAGCAGTCTAAGCAAAGATGTTAAGAGGCATAGTCCCTCCAGTGTGTCCTCGGCCATGAGGACACACCTCCCAATGGGACATGCATGGAACACCTCCCAAGGGAGGCGACCAGGAGGCATCCGAAACAGATGTCTGAGCCACCTCAAATGGCTCCTTTCGACGTGGCGGAGTAACGATTCTACTCCGAGCTCCTCAACATCCTGCCATGTTGCTTTCTTAATTCCCCACGTTAGCTCATCTCAGGTTAATGTAGGACCGTGTTACTCTTAATTACAGCTCTGACTTCCTTTGTTTAAAGCGTGAGTAAGATTTCGGTTTTATAAGCTGCCAACAAGAAGTCAAAACCTTTTCACCTGTCCGGATGAGCCTGCACATGCACCACAGAAACAGAGTAAGTTAATTTTTTCCTCTCAATGGTAAAACAATGAATAACTGGAACGGGCCATTTCATAGTTCACAAGAACTCTGCTGCTGAACTCTGGGCAAATCATATTAAATCTTTTACATTTAAATATTCACCAGTGTTGTTACTGTAATCACCCCCACTATGACGTATGACGAGTATTAGGGCCAGGCTAGAGATTTTTTTTTCTTGTATTTCGAAAATAAAGTCATAATATTACGAGAATAAAGTCGTAAAACTACGAGAATAAAGTCGTAACATTACGAGAATAAAGTTGTAAAATTACGAGAATAAAGTTGCAAAGAGAATAAAGTTGCAAAGAGAATAAAGTTGTAACATTACGAGAATTAAGTCGTAACATTACGATAATAAAGTTGTAACATTACGAGAATAAAGTCGTAAAATATGAGAATAAACTCGTAACATTACGAGAATAAAGTCGTAAAATATGAGAATAAAGTTGCAACGAGAATAAAGTTGTAACATTACGAGAAAAAAGTCGTAACATTATGAGAAGAAAGTTGTAACATTACGAAAATAAAGTTGTAAAATTACGAGCATAAAGTTGTAAAATTACGAGAATAAAGTTGCAACGAGAATAAAGTCATAACATTATGAGAATAAAGTCGTAACATTACAAGAATAAAGTCATTATATTACAAGAATAAAGTCGTAACATTACGAGAATAAAGTCATAACAGTATGGGAATAAAGTCGTAAAATTCTGAGAATAAATTCATAAATTTATAAGAATAAAGTGGTAAAACTACGAGAATAAAGTCGTAACATTACGAGAATAAAGTTGTACAATTATGAGAATAAAGTTGTAACATTACGAGAATAAAGTACAATTATGAGAATTAAGTTGTAACATTACGAGAATAAAGTACAATTATGAGAATTAAGTGTTAATATTAAGAGAATAAAGTTGTATTTTATGATAAGCATGTGAAGTTAAACTTTGGCTCTGGTTTGTCAAAAAAGGAAATCTTTTAGCGAACCATCAGGATGTTAAAGGGACTCTGATTGGTGGAGCTGGTCAGCCGTCATCTGCGGGTTGGAGCTCCGAGCTTTCTCTCTGAAACGGGTAGCTGTATGATGACTTAATTCTTGTAATATCGCAACTTTATTCTCGTAATGTTACGACTTTATTCTTATAATGTTATGACTTTATTCTCATAAAAGAAGAAAAAAAAATCTCTAGCCTGGCCCTATTAGTCCGTCGTACCCCCACCAACTTCTCACACAGCCCACCTGAATGGAGCTGAATATGTGTCCACAGCAAACAGTATGAAAGAATCATTGTATCTTTCTATCATTTGTTCTGTTCGTCTTTTTATTGTTCGTTTCAATTTTAAAAGATTGATACATGGATTTCAAGGCTGCTAAAACCACAATGTTCTTTTCTCTGTCATGGTAGAGAGAACTGATTTCTCTGTTATTTATGGAGCATGTGGAGACCTTGAGCAAGTACTCCTAATTTCACAAAAATATAAAAACCTTTGATTTTCAACAAGATTCTTCTCTAATAACTTAAAGCCTTAAAGAGTCCAAAATTTTCATTCAAGGCCCTTCAATACATCAAGTTCATGTTTGCTCATTCCCTGCTTTACATGCACCTGTTTTTGGATAAGATGAGCTCGTAGGTTTGATAAGAAGAGATCTGACATCAGGATCAGACTTTTAAGAAAGTATCTTCCCATAAAGGATCAAAACTTCCCCATCAATGAGCAGAACCTGATGTTGGCCTATTGTTGTTATAAACAAAGCACTCTTGGTACTGTACATAATAATCCACCAGCAGCTCCTAATTCATTGATATTAGAGTCAAACCAAATAATATATAAAGACATTAACTCCGCTCAACTCACCAAATCATTGCCAGCTGAACAGAGCTGTGCTGACTTTAAAATGATTTTACTTGATAGTTTCATTAAAAGGATTGTTTTTATGAATAATATTGAGAAATCCACCAAGGAAATGTGAAGATTTTTTGTACACCCTGTTTTTGTTAATTAACTAGTAAAATTAAACCAATCTTATAAAGAGAAAAGGCTGTAGAGATAGAGGGATCTCAATTATATTAATTCTCTGCACTGTGCAAAAATTATGACTAAAAGAGTCATTTGATGTGGCAGAGATCTAGTTCCAAAAATAAATATTGCTATGAATATATGATCAATAAATATTCAATAAAATAAATACATTTCCTCATTAAATATAACAAAATACATAGTTATAAGTAATATTTTTCTATTTTTTTTCATTTATTTAGTTAGTTCAAAATTTACCAATTTATTTAAAGTTTTATTTACTTAATTATTAAGATTTATAATTTTACTTTAAGAGGTATTATCTTAATTTTTTTTATGATTTATTTAGTTAAAGCTATATTTATTTATATCAAAATGTGTTTAATAATTTTAAGATTAAGTCATTTAAATATATATATATATTTATATTTTTTATGATATATTGTTTCATGTTTTTTATTTATCTATTTAATAATAGAATTTCAAACAAAAGGGGTGGAGTTACAAAATAAAACATTTTCAAACAAACCAAATTTACAATTAAATATATGCACCAATAAATAAACTTTAAAAAAATTAATATGTATGTAAATTAAAATAAATTGATTAAGAACAATGTGTGTATATTATTAAATAAAAGAAGTAAAGCTGCCTCATGGAGCTAATGAACTAAAATGGGAAATGTGTCACTAGAATCAAGAGTTTTTATGAATGTTTAGGAAATATTCGATCAGACTTCTGCTCCTGTTGATGGGTACGTTGGTTCACATTTCATCAGCAAGGCAGTTGAATTGTCTGGGACAGTTTGTCTTTAAAACAAAAATTCAAATCAATATTTTATTTTAGGAAATTAACATTTATAACATTTTCACTTATTATTATTATTTTTCAAATTTTTGTTATTTGAATTACTAGTGTGAAATTCTCATTTTCCTTAATGGCAGGGTGTGTAAACTTTCAAGGCCAACCTTATGTTGCCCTATTACATTTTGCTTGGACGTTATTGTGTCATTTTTTACCTCATGGTGTACAGCAGCGTCCCGTCATCTTTGATCCGCAGCAGCTTATTGGGCATGGTCATGTTATGCGCCACAGACTTTTTCCCATTGTGAAAGAAGGTATCTGGAGTCCAGATCTTACTCGCCATCAGGTTGTTCAGGGGTAAAATGTTCATTGGTCCATGAAACGTTAACCTCTCGTCCCTCCAGCTTTGCCGGAAGAAAACATCTATGGTGTACTCCTGAGAAAAAGGAAAAAGAATTAGTGAAGAAGTGATACACCTGTTTTTTTTTTTTTCTTCTCTATGTTAAAACAAAAGCCGTTCCCCCTAAATATAGCGCAATAAAACAGCAAACGTCCGCTCATGATTTATTGATGTCTACAAGCAGCATCTTCACAACTGGCTTCATGTGCCACTTTAAAGCTTTCCCCTGTTGGACAAAGCTCCATTAAGGTGAGGCTGCTGCTCTCTGCTTTCTTCCCTGGCTTGGTGTTTACCCGGCTTGAGAGGCCAAGCCACAGTCCTCTGACCTAAAATCCTCTGCTGTCAGAGGGAACCACACACAAACACCAAAGAGGATTTAGGGCAGACAGCACAGGACTGTGCGATGTGAGTATATGAGAGTTACATGCAGCGACCGAATGTGAGAACGAGAGATACAGAGATGCTTGGGTTTTTTTAACTTCACAGTCTAACAGCCTTTGACATTTAGATCTCTGGACACTGAAACTGCAACTGAGCTCTCATTTTACTCAGATAACCACAGGAGGAATGTACTCTACTAACTGCATTTTACATCTTTAATCTCTTTAGGCTGTCTCTGAAGAATATGAAGACAGTTTTTAAATGTTTTTTAAAGGGGAATAGATAAAGGTGGTGGTAATTTTAATCTGGGATTCTTCGGTTAGTCTGCTGATATGTCGTGGTTTTTAAGCTTTTTACTGAATCTTCCTATGCTGAATGCATGAATAGTTCAATTTCTTTATTAAACTGCCTCGTTTTTTCCAAGAAACAACAGAAATCATGGCTAAATTTGATTGTCCTTTAACCAAGAGGTGTGTTCATTTGGCTGAATTTGTAAGCATGGTTTATGTCATACTAGCTTCCCTACCCAGTCTCCATAGATGTGTTTTCTGCAAAGCACACCTATGGAGAGAATCTCTTTCCATTATTGTTTCAAGTAGAGAACATGTTTTGTAAATGGAAATTACATTTTTTTCAATATTTAAGTTTTAGTTTTTATTATTTATTTCAAATTTTATTTTTCAGAATTGCATTCATTTTGAATTGCACATTACAGATCAGACTCTTTTCATTTCCAGGGAGGGACTTTCCTCTGCAGTGAGGCTTTTGAAAATCATTATTTTCAAATCGTTATTTGCTTGCAACAACAATGAAACATTTATTGGTGGCTGTCTGTTGCCCCCTTGTGCCACTCTCCTTTCACCTAGCTCCCCTCTGGTTATTTCTGTCCACACCTGTTCCCAATCAGTCGATTACTCCATTCATTATTCTGTTTGGGATATACAGTATATACTCCTAATCTGGCAGTAGCCAGATTGATATGTGTAGAGCTGAGTTGAGTCCTATGTTAATAATAAGGGATGGCCGCTGTTCAGTCTGTCCGTGAAAAAGGAGGGACATTTAGTACAATACTTTGGGCTGATTGGGTGATGTGCCAGCTAGCACCTGGTATTCCATAATATGCTTTCAGCCAATCGTAGCAGCTAATTGTGACTTTCAGTCTGCTGAAAAATCTTGATAAGCTGATAAATCTAACTTTTTCCATATTCTGTCAGAATAAAAGCACAGACATCTTTCCGATCTACAAATGCACAAAGTGCTTCTCTTTGCTCCTTTTTTAAAATGAGCAATTGTCGCTATTTAAGCTAAAACCAAGTCAAATACAATTTCGACAGGTGCGTCCTCCAGCGTAGCCATGTTTTTAATGCCTAGGCAATGCCCTTTTGTCATTCTTCCATGTCCCGCCCCAGAAAACACTGCTGGCATGTCATTGGACCGACCCGCAGCTTGTTTCGAGACGGACATATTAGCAGGAGTCTTTCAAGATGGATCTGATATGAGACTGACAACTCAGATCTCCTGACACTCCAGCTTGCAGCGCAAAGTTAATATACTCTTCTTCTATGGTTACTTTTTGCTGGATTCTACTCATTCCCTCCTGAAGCCCTGTGTTCCTCAGAGTTCAGGGTCCTGTGTTCCCTGGTTAATTCATTTTGGATTTAAAGGGGCGACAGTGGTGTCGGATGCAAGAGTTTGACCTGCAACCGGAGGATTCAAGCCCCAGCTCTGGCTTTCAGTGTTGTTGTGACCTTGGGCAAGACACTGCATCGCCTACGGATGGTGGAAAGAGGGACTGGTGGCGCCAGTCTATAGCAGCCTCGTTTAGGTCAAGTCATCGGACTTGAAAAAGTGTTATATATGTACAGGTCATTTAGTATTTATGTTTCTGTTGCCACCTCTCTAATTATTAAATCTGCAAGAAACCACAGTCTCCCTGTCTTCATTTGTGTATCTCACCCATAGGGCCACTTAGTCATTCCTCTCCAGATTTAGGGCCCCTTAGTAACTTTTCTATAGATTTAGGGTCTCTTTGTGAACCCCTTCCAGAGCTTCTTTCTTGAGCCCATTCTGTGCCATCCAGAGACCTCTGAGCCAGCCATTTTCCATTCTGTGACACTGGGGCTCCATGTTGGACCTGTCCTGAGTCAGAGCTTTCTCCTCCAAGGACCATCCGTGGGCGCTGCTCGTCTCCATACCCCTCCTTGGACGCTCCTCATATCCAAGGCCCCTCTGTGGGCATCCCTTGCCATCTGCAGTGCCTCTTTGTGGGTCTCAAGCTGTAGCGCCTCTTCATGGGTTCCTACTGCTATAACAGCGGCCTACAAGGTTCCCACACCAGAGGCCCCATAGTCCCTGCTGTGTAGACGGCATCCCCCGGCAGTACTCTAGAGACCCTTCTTTGTTGTTGTCTCCTAGAGGCTGGTTTGTTTGCCCACCTTGGTTGGGTCATATTGTTTTCGACTTTGGTGTTTTGTTTGTCGCTTCTGGCCCTCCTTTCTAGGCCCTGTTTTCTGTTTTGGAATTTTTCTAGCTCATGGCTTTTTTTTAGGGCGTCTTCTCGTGCTATTTTTCTTCTGTCTGTGTTTTTCAGTTACACTTTGATTTATGTCATTCTGTGTTTACTAAGTCATTAGTTTAATTTCCATTTAATGCCATCAAAGACTAGTTATATATAGTTATATTACTCTCTGTTGCCCCCTTGTGCCACATTCTTTCCCCCTAGCTCCCTTCAGGTTATTCCTGTCCACACCTGATCTCAAACAGCCAATTACTCCATTCATTGTTCTATTTGGGATATGTACTCCCCCTCTGTGGTTACTCTGTTGGACTCTCCGCATTCAATTCAATTCCTTTTATTTATATAGCCCCAATTCACAACACAAGTCATCTCAAGGCACTTAACAGTTCAACCAGCATTCCCTCCTGAAGCCCTGTGTTCCCCTTTATTCTGGTTCCTGTTTTCCCTGGTTAGTTATTTCTGTAAATATGCTTCTGTTGCTGCCTCTCGAATGATTAATTATGCAAAAAACCACCACAGCCTCTGTCTCTCTGTTTGGGTCCTCTACAGTTCTACAGGGAAACACATGAGGGATGAGCAACATTTCCTACTGGCAAGAGATCCCAAACATAAATATCTCTAGAGATGTTATGGTTTCGTATGACCAAGACCAAGTTTGGTATGACTGTGAAAAAACATGGTGTGGCAAAATGGCAACATAAACATGAATCCTTTTCATTCCTTTAAATTGTTTTAGACTCTTTAGCTATCAAATCTGAAATGGGAAACTTCAAACAATTAGCTACTCTTCTTTGGCTGTTTTCTTACTTTTTTAACCTTTGGTTCTTAAGAAATAGCATCCTTTATTTTGGTCATTTTTGGCAGAACACCGACAGGAAAAGGGGTTGGAGATAAGGGGAAGACATGTGGCTTAGGTCAACAGGCTGAGACTCCCCACATATAATGCATTTAAGTTCAAATAACAAACAGATTCTTTACCAGACTGACAGCTCTTGCCAAATACTACAATTGCTGGAGATAAAATGCTGCGGTGCAGTTCAATATTGCTGTTGGGCAGAAACCTTTATTTATAGATTTCTAATGAATTTTTTTTTACAAATGAATGCCCTACTTTACTAAAAGTGTCCTTACAAAAATTGTGAAAATAGCAGGTATGTACATAAGCTGACAAAATTTACAATAAAGGAATGTTTCCTTATTTACTATGAATTATGCATTATACAGAGATCAATCAATCTTCATTAATCCAAAAAAGAAAAGAACAAAAACATTCTTCTTTCTACTTTGGCAATGTTGATTTGCTTGTTTCCCTTTAGAAAGCAGTAGTACCATAGATCGCCACTAGGAGGCGAGAAACCGTGCTAGTGTGATGTGTAAATGGTCGTAAGGATCCGAGCTCGGCACAGTTAACTGATCCAAGCTCGGTCCGAACTCGGGACGGATCGGTTTTCAGGGACAGTGGCGGCTCTAGGGCACGGCTACTTGGGCTACAGCACCGGATGTTTTCCCCAAGAGCCCCAGATCTCGTTACTGAGCTGATCTGAGTAAAATCTGCAGTACTGGAATTTACCAGATGGTGGCAGCATGCGCAGGAAAGCAGAAGAAGTTGTCACCACTAGCTGTTGCTAAACAGACTAATGTCCCAGGGATGTGAAGCTCTGACTGACCTCCAGACATTCTTTGTCCCTCTGTTATATGACATTCTGTTTCCTTTGTGTCGGGAGCACGCATTGAAGCAAGAGAGGTGGATCTGACCATTTTCACTGCGCTTTTGATCAATTTCTCGCTAAAAATAGCTCTTATAATCATGTCACTGTTGCAACATCCAGTTTAATCAGCAGCTGCTGTTTACAAAATTGTAAAATAAAATAAAAAAAATAGATGAGGTCCTTTTGAAGCTGTTTTGTGTTGTTTTTTTCAAACGCCAAGAGAATCTGTCTTTTTCCGACTTCTGTCATTTAAACCTGACAGAAAAAAAAGTCAGTCACCAAACACAGATTTTCAACACGTAGTGAGTATTTATCATTTTTCATTTGTGATTTAAAAGGATGGAAACTGGCTGATAGCAGGACACAAAAATTAAGACCTAAAAAAAGTTCCTAAAAAAAGAGAATATAGACTTTCTGGTAATTCCAGAAATTCTAATTCTAATGTAAAATATGACAGATTACTGGATTAAGGTCATTTCTAGTATACAAATTGATATCACACATAAAATGTTTTGAGAATTTGTAAACATGTGCTCTTTATTTCCCAAAGATATGGGAGGAGGTGAGGAGATAATGGTTTTTTTTAGCTGCCTGAAATAATCTGTTTCCCCTCCATAACATTAAAATTAATTCACCTGCAAGTGTTTAACTGCGTTTATTCCTCTCTTCATCAACAACAAACCCTGTGGATTTGGTGACATTTGATCATTATTTATTATTAAAGGAGGTGAACCATATATTTTAGCCACCTAATAAAATCCGTTCCCCCTTTGATGATCTTTATGAAATTTGTTTTCTGTTTAAATGTTTATCAAACAATTAACATATATTCCAAAAAAAAAAAAAGTTCAACCCAAACCACAGGACTTTGTTTTCCAAGTTTGAAGATGTTTCACTTTCCATCCAGAAAGATTTCTCAATTCAAAATATCTGGAGCAATGCTACTGCAGACATTTTGAATTGAGAATTGAAAATACATTTCATAAAGATCCTCAAACCAACAGTCATATTTATTTTGACTATTTTGAATTTCAAAATTTAAAATAATAAATGTTTCAAACATAATGTGCAAAAATAATGACAGCTTTTCCTCCATGTTATTGGGGGTACGGATTATATCAGGTGGCTAAAATATTTGATTTCCCTCTCTTAACTTTGGCAAATAATGATCAGACGCCCCCAAATCCTCAGAGTTTGATTTTGATGAAGAGAAGAATAAACACAGTTAAAGACTTGCAGCTTAATTAATTTAATCCCATGTTATGGAAGGGGAACGGATTATTTCAGTCAGCTAAAATATATGGTTCCCCCCTCATAACTCTGGCAAATAAGGAACAAATGCTACCAAAATCACAGGATTTGTTATTAATGACAAGAGGAATACATACAGTTAAATACTTTCAGGTAAATTAATTTAATCCCATGTTATGGAGGGGGAATTCTTATGTGTGATAGCATGTAGTATACTAGAAATTTCCTTAATCCAGTAATCTCTTATATTTTACATTAGAACAGGATTTACCTGAAAGACTACACTCTCATCTTCACTCTCATGGCTAAGCCCCCGATCTCCTAGAATCCTAGATCCTCCCCTGTTCAGAGGATAGTGTAAATGGGGCTCCTGTCTTTACTTACTTCACAGCAGGTTCAGCTGTGGAGGAAGAGCTGTTGAACTATGGCTGTAGCACAGGAGGGAGGAAGGGGGAGGGACCTGTAAAGAGTCCTTGTTTACATTTTCTGGTTAAGTCCAAAGTTTTCTCAGAAGTCTCTACTGCAGGCTAATGAGACTATATCGTTACCAGCTACTGTAACCTAGCAGGTGAGGAGAAATGGACCTCTCATATCCCATTTATACCCCACAGAAACACAAGGCTGTGGATGACTAATCAGAGCTTCTAAATATTCAAATTAAGTAAAAAAAATATGGGATTCCCATGAATAATTACTGACTAGATGAACCCGAAATGATATTTGCAATAAATTCAGGATGTTTCT